CAACATGGGGCCACCTGGTGTAAAGCCGCTGTCAGCGGATTGAGGAATAGTTAGGAGTCCTGCTCCTAGCCCTAACTCCTATAGCGATCCTGTGTGTTACCCATGCAAGGAATATAGTTTACTTTAAAGTATGAAGTTTAATCTGCTTATATTTGCCTCCAACCACAAACCCAACACCCCCCGTCCCCAATTCTATTCTATTGAAATGGACAATTTTACCATGCCAAGCTAAAGATGAAAACAAAAAGTGCCAACGTTCCCTTTAAAAAATTGCTTAGAAAAAAAAGGAAGGAATGCTCCACATTCAAATCCCTGAGGAAAGCAAGTTTCAAAATGGAAATCCACAGTTCAAGTACAACTAAAGCCTCCTGTAGGACAGTCTAAATGAGTCCCAAATCCAGTTACTATGTGATGTTCAATCCTCATAAAAGGAAACACACGCTCTCCCCAGCAGACACTGCAGCTCACAGTGGGAGGGTTTCAGCCACAGAGGTGTTGCTGTCAATCCAGAAAGCAGGGGGTGGGACTAGGTGTGGCCAGGTGATGATTGACAAGCTACAGGCAGTAACAATGCTGATAGCCACTACATCTACACCGTCTCCTCATCCCACCGTAGTGCAACCAGACACAGCCTACATGCAATGGTGTCCCTAGACTGGGTGGTCTTGACTTCCATGACCGTAACACCAGTCTCTGCAGATCTAGGATGCTCTGGCTGGTGTCCCAGCTCCTGTCAACCAGTGACAAAATTGGTTGCCAGGAGCTCGGCGGGTTGCCAGCCAGAGCATCCCAGGTTGCTAAGACCTGGGTGGGGAAATGTGCATGGCCGCTCCCTTAGCAACCTGAGACACTCTGGCTGGTGCCCCCCCCCCCCCAATGTGACCACGACCCTGCCTACATGATAGTGACAACTCTGCTCTGAATTCAGGAGCAGTGCAGCATCGTCGCCACCCCATCACAGGAAGCTGCATTAGGTGGACTTCACTGGCAGGATCAACAGGGATTCGTAGGTCTAAGAGAATGTCAAGAGAATAAGGGCAGAGGGATTTATGATTAAGCACTGCAGCACATTTTGTAATGGAAAGCCACAGCTCTGCTTGACGATGACTTACAATAATACGAAATAAGCAGATAAGAAGCAACACAGAGCAGCTACTGCTCTGAACCAAAGGCTATATTATAACATGAAATTCCCCAGGGAGGAAATTACACAGAGCACACAGAGACTGCAATCCCTACAGGGGAACACCTGCTACAAAGACTTCTTCATCTTTAAACCTTAATCTTTTGCCCTCTATACATAAAAGGGTACAGTGGCGTCACAAGGTGGGTGCTGACCGCACCCGGGTGCCACTAAAATGACTGACAGTCATTTTGGTGTCACCCCCTATGAAAAGTCAGGCACTTGGTCACGGACTGAGAGCCCGACAGTGTCAGGGGAGAGGAGGGGACCCAGCGGCATACCTCATCCCGCCGGGTGAACGTCCCCTCCTCTCTCTGCTGGCGTCCATCAATGCCGGCAATCGCCAATAAGACGACCACTCATGCGCGATGACATCACGGCGTCACCCAGCCTCTGCTCCGGGTGACCCCCAGCCTCGGGATGCCCCTGCAAGGGCAGCCACTGAGGTTCCCGCAAAGCCAAAGGCATGTATTCCCAGGATAGCGGGAGCTGCTAAACATCTATACATGCTCAAGTCACATCACATTTTCCACACATTACCAGAGGAGTCCAGAATTATGTTCACATCAAGATATGTGCGCCTATCCATTATATACCAATATTATATACCAATAGGTAAGGGCTGTGGGGGGGGGGGGGGGAAAAGGGCCTCCCTAAAAGCAGTTTTTCTGCAACAGAAGTGCTATAAAGCCTTCCTTTCTGGTGAGCCCCCATCAGAAGCTTCAGCGCTCAAGTCTTCTGGGAATGTCAGATACCCGCGTCCCCCATTGTGTGCTGTAGCTCCATCCTCTGACCATTTCTTTAGTTTTAGTACATTCTTGTGACATAGGGGTCAATGGATGGAACCAAAAGGAGTGATGGGGAACACAGGCATCTGACACTCCCGAAGTGTTGATTGCTGAAGATTCTAACGGAAGCTGTAGCGCTTCAACAGAGCAGAGATAGGAGACGCGGGCCACCAGAGAGATATATATAATACCGCCCGCTTCTTCTCAAGGAACTCCTATTGGAATTTTTTGGTGCCGACAGTGTCACTTCAAGGTAAAGGTTGGGTTTACAGCCACCTTTAGGGTAAAGGTAAGGTTTACAGCCAACTTTAGGGTGAAGGTTAGATTTACAGCCACCTTTAGGGTAAAGGTAAGGTTTACAGCCAACTTTAGGGTGAAGGTTAGATTTACAGCCACCTTTAGGGTAAAGGTAAGGTTTTAGACGTTAGGTTAGTCCTGGGGGGACAAATACGGAATTCAGAAGCCAGCAGGATTTGTTTGGGATCCAGCTTTATCGACAACAATAAAAGAAAGCCTAAAAAAATAATC